CTCTCGCAAGTCTTAGAGAAATGTTAGGCGCCTTGTTCCTAGTAAAACTTCTTAACGTATCAGTTTATAGTTTAATTGCTCTTTTTTGAGATAAACTCTAATGTTTCTGTACTATATTTAGACACTTAAGGTCTTTACTATTAAACTCATGTAAAACCGATTTCACCGATTGTGTCTTTCCAGCACCTTCGACCTCTCAGTGTCAGATTTCATAATAAAAAAAATGCTTTCTTCTCTCAGCAATTAAATATTTAAATTCTATAATTTCCAAATCTTAGCTGTTTAATAAATATTTCTTTCTCTAGCTGAACAGTTTTAAATTGACTCGGAAAATTTCGTACGCTATGCGGATGCCGCAAGTGGTTGGTATTCTTTGGATTATTATCTCTCGGAAGCGCAGTCCATTCACGGTTAGGGGTTTCGATGAAATGCCGGATCATTTTTACGGAATTTCAAAGACCCAATTAGCTAAGACACGAAGTTCGTGAAAGGTTTAAAAAGATATAGTTTTTCTAGAAGTAGTATTCCGCGGCAGGGCGTGTCCTACGAATGAAGTTCTGACATGAATAAAAGCTCATAATAAAAATCCATAATTTGTTTAGAGGCGGCTTCGTATGAACTTGGATTTCTCAATTTGTTTGGAAAAACATCGAAATAGACTCTACAAATCGAAAAAAGACGAAAACTGCTTCGGCGGTTACAAGGCGCCAATTCAATAATAATAACATAATAATTTCTGGGATCACTAAGTACCTCACTTGTGATACATTTTCAGAGATATTTGCATAAATAAAGTAAATATTCGAAAAATAGTCTTGAAAACCATTATTTCGAACTCAACTGTAACTCTGATTACTAAAAAAATATAATATATATGTATATATTTATATAAAACACAAATATATAAATATATGTTTGGGTACATATATTAATTTTACGGTCAAGTAAGAATTTTTTGTGTTTGCATGGTGGGTGTTTACATCGACGGCCGCTGCCTGCTGCCTGGGTAATTAATTGTTGTAGTTGCCGCCCAGTAACAACCTTCAAGCATCAAAAAGCAATTGTTTTATTTTCGTTTTCCAATTGTATTTAGCTATTTACGTACATACAGTCAGTCTTACGTATGTATTTTTATGCATACAAACAGTTTGTTTGTGCTAGGCGAAAATTTATTTTATTTGTTTTCCTTTACACGGGCATGCGCGGCACGTCACACGCTCATTCAAGCATTCAACCATTCAAGCTTTCGTTAATATTTGTCGTCGTCTATGCCGCAAACAACGGTTCGGCCAATTCGCCGGCTCATTGCCATAAATGTAAATAGTGTGACGATTTAATTGTAATTTAGTGTGAAATTCTTAACTTATGTTCACCCGCTTGCCTGTCCGACGGCGCGTTTTGCCTCTCGTATTGTAGAAGAGGGTTAAGCAATAATTTATTCTCACACAGTGACTTGTCTCTCGATAGCTCAATAACGCTTTGTTGTTTTAGCGCAGTGTTGTTGTTGAGTGCGATAAATCATTACAAGTGTATTAATTTTTTGCGATTGCGCAGCATTTTTATAGATTTTCTACTTTAGTTTTCACCTAAGTTAATGAGAGAAAATCTTTGTTTCATATTCGCGAGGCACTTTATTACACACAACCAATCTATTAATTGTTGTGTTCTGCCCATATACAAAGTAGAACTTTTGAAAGCAAAATTAGTAACAAAACAAAAAGCGTAAATAAAAATATTAAAAAATAAAAATAATAATAATAAACAGAAATTTTAATTAACACATAAAAGAAATAAAAAAATAAAATAACTAAATTTAAATAAAATGTTAAAATTAAAATAAAATAAATAAATATAACTAAAATAAGTAAAATAGGTCAATAAAACTAACAAAAATAAAATAAATTAATAAAACAAAAATAAATAATATAAATAAATAAAACTAAAACAATTAAAATAAATAAAATAAATTAATAAAACTAAAATAAATAAAATAGAATAAATTACTTAATAAATTAAATAAAAAATTATATTAAAAAATATAAAAAATATGAAATTAAATATTAATAATATAAAATAAGATCAAATGAAATAAAATTATATAAATGAAATAAAATAATATAAATGAAATAATATAAAATAAAATAAAGTAAATTAAAATAAAATTAAATTAATTTCAATTAAATAAAATTAAATTAAAATTACATTAAAATTAAATTAAAATTAAATTAAATTAAAATTAAATTAAATTAAAATTAAAATTAAAATTAAAATTAAAATTAAAATTAAAATTAAAATTAAAATTAAAACTAAAATTAAAATTAAAATTAAAATTTAATTTATTTTAATTAAATTAAAATTAAATTGAAATTAAATTAAATTAATCAAATTAAATCAAATAAAGTCAATTAAAATAAAATAGAATAAATTAAATAAAAAATGAATGCAATAAAAATTATGTTGCCACCATTTCCAAAGCGGGAAAATTTCCTTAGCGCATGCGCAAATCTATCAAATGGACTACTATTTCGATTTACTGGCGATGAATTGTCTGAGTGGAGTAACGTAGATTATGGGTCAATGACCAGCTCAGAAAAAACACATTTATGTATGTACATATATATAATACAAACAGACAAATTTATATTTTGTTGCAATAATCCCGCTGCGGCGTCGACGTCACATCATTTTGATTTTAATTGAATTTTACAACATTTTTCATTAAAAATTCGCTTTCCAGCTGTGCGCTGAGCCGACACGCGTGCGCCAATGCGGACCGAATTCGTACATACACGTAGATGATGATCTTACTGATTTTTACTTATTTTTTATTATTCACCATTTATTATTTATCGTTTATTATGTATTAATGATTGAATTATTACAATAACAACAACGACTAGACATCGCCATGTAACACGTTTACCATTGGCAAGGCGCGCTCGCTCGTTTAAATAAGAGTGAAAATGTAGATAATTTGTTGTTATTTGATTTTTGATTATTTTTTAATTACTTATTTAGTTAGAGTTTGGCGAGGTTTTCAATTTTATTTCTTTTGATATGCCTCGGTTCGTTACTGTATTTGCAAAATCAATATTTTATAGATTTATTTACATTCATGGGAGTGTGTGTGTGTGTGTGTGTGTGCATTGGTAAATGATTGGCTTCGTGAATTTGAATAAGACAAAAAAATAGTAAGATTTCGCATTGAAGCAATTATTACAGTAGTTTGAAAATTAAATTTGAACTGCCGCGCTTTGTTTGCGGAAATAATCAATTCGTTCCAGGTGCTCCAATGGCGTTGCAGCGAATTTCGCTAATTTTGTGTAAATTTTAAGGCTAATAATTTATGTATATTTTAAAATTTTTTTCTTTTAACACAGGAAGTGAGGTTTCATTTTCGATTATAAATTGTTACTCTTTTATGATGTTTAGTTTTTTTTAGGGTTTTATTTATTTTTTTAATTTTTTTTTGTGTTTTTTTTTTTTGTATTTTTTTTGTGCATACAAAATCGTACGGAAATAACATATAGATTCCCCAAAGCTAAATGTTAGGTTATACGAATTTGTGGCAAAATTTTATATTTTAATTAGGCAGTTAGTAAAGAATATTACTTTCACATAAAATAGATCCGCTGGGGGTGCAGTTCTTTTAATACCACTCCCAACTGTGGAGTCTCTCTTGAAAAGATCAACTTCCGCACATTAATGGCATAAGTTAATTTTTATTTATATTTATTTTTTATTTTTTATGTTTTTTTTTGCACTTTTTTATTTTTGTTTTATTTTTAATTTTAATTTAATATTTTTATTGTTATTTTTTAATATTTGAATATTTTAGTATTTTTTTTTAATTTTTACAATTTTTTATTGAAAATAGCGGCTAAATTAGCGCATTGAAGAGTTGTTGGTTAATAATAAATTTAATAATACAACAATGGATAAATTGCTGATGTTGGCGCAGTGGTAAGGCATTCACCTGTTAAGTCAGGATCTCTTGAATCGATCCCTGCCATAAAAAGTCTGATGAGGAGATGTGGTGATCGCCGAAACTGCTGTCCACATCTGCCATTTTTCTTTGTTGTATAACAAAAAATATTCAATTCATATAAACAAGCCAACCTTCAGCTCACTAAAAAATTAATTTCTAATTGTTTTAATTAATATTTTATTATTATTTATTATTTTTATATTTTATTTTTTATCTATTTTTATTTTATTTTTGTTTACTTTTGTTTTTAATATGTATTGTTATTATTTTTTTATTCTATTAAATATGTTTTTATTTTTATATTTATTATATATTTGGTTAAACATTTTTTGCTTTTTTATTTAGATCTATTGAAACAATATTATACTTTATTGATGCCTCATTTGCAATTTTAAATTTATGTATCTTAGTAGTTTTTACATATATTTGTTTAGTTTATTTTAATTTAATTTAATTTTTTTTTTTTTTTTTTTATTTATTTTTATTTTTTATTATAGTTACTTATTATTTTAAATTTTTATATAATAATTTTTAATTTTGATATAATTATTTCTAATTTTTAGAATTAATTTTTTTATATATTTTTTGAGTTTTTAATATTGGGTATTTTAATTTTTTTTATGTTTAATGTTTTATATTTTTATTTTTTTAATTGTTTTTTTTTATGTTATTAATTTTTATTGTTTTTTTATTTTATTATAATTTATTGTTTTTTTTTTATTTTTTATTTTACTATTATTATTTTTATTTATTATTTTTTATTTTACTATTATTATTTTTATTTATTATTTTTTATTTAATTTTTTTTTTATTTCACATGTTCGAAAGAAATTTTTGTGTAATATAATTAATGTCCATACGCAATTAAGCTAATTGGCATAACACACACACAAGCACATAAATAATATCTTGAAATATTTTTGAGCTTTTCTTCCGACATTTTTACAGTTAATTACACCATACCTGGTCATTTATATTAATTTCCTTCTCTCTTTTTTCGCTTTTATTGTAGATAATGTATATAAAACACGAAAATCCAACATAAAATAGCATGACTTGAAAGTGAAGAAAATAAAAAATAGAAAAAATCATCAAAACAAACGGAACAGGAACACAATGTAAGCCTTCATCATGACTTAGTGAAAGACGAAACTAAAATTGGAGAAGTGTAAAGGCGGAAGACGAAGGTATCTACGAAGTATAAGTCGCAGGAAGCCCCACTTGTAAGTAAACCAATGCCCAGCGAAATGACATACCATGAAACAGCAAATAAGGACACTGAAGCGAAGGACAAAATAATAAAAGAAACCATTTGAATGAACTTACAACCTTCGTTACCGAATGACGCACAAAACCCCGGATCAGACCGCATAATACCCGTTACGAAAACGAAGAAAAATAACTACGCTACATAGTAAAGAGCGTAAATGAAAAGTTGTTTAAATAAACCCTGTAAAAAAAGCCAGCTATAAAAAGAGGCAACCAAAAAAGAGCGAAAAAATTAACTTCAAAATACCATTTATAGCGCAAATGCAAAAGCACAAATGGGCACATTTTGAGAACTTAACCATCACTCACATGTCGTCAATTGTCCGAAATCCGAAAACAACAAAAACAACACAACTGCAAACAAACCAACAAAGGAATATCGTATAATAATAACCAAAATAGCCACCATCTCACCATAACTAAATACTATAATCAACCTTCTTGTTTCTTACTCAACGTCATCGCCGTCGCTGTCGCTGTCGTTGTCGCCGCCGCTATCGCCAATTGTACACCAACCAAGCAGCCAACTAACCCACAATAATACCATAGAAGTGAGTGGTGAGTGGTGACATTAAAGACGGAAAGTAAATATTATTACATAGTGATAGTAGCTGTAGTAGTTGTCGCCCTGCTGCCACACGCACATACCCGTACATGTAAAATAAAATAAAATAAAATCAAATATCACAAAAACGCAAAAAGTACATTTATAGCTACGCCGCATTTGCCCCAGAAACGAAACAAAAAGTAAAACAACAAAACAAAGGAAAAAAATGTTGCAAGACACCATACAGCCAAAAGTCGTTGTAATACGACGACGTCCGAATCAAGGTTTCGGTTTTACGCTGCGTCATTTTATTGCCTACCCACCGGAAGATGATCCCTCTTGGCCACAGGTAAGCGTTAAAGTAGTACATACGTATGTTGTTTGTATATAATGCAAAAAAAAAGACAAAAAAAAATGCAAAAGCTTTTATATTCAGCCTTAGGTTACGTTTATTTGTACAATTGGACAGTTGAATATGCGTATCCCCCATATGTGCGAAAAATTTAATGTTAATAAGTGGAACGAAGGCGATTCGACAAAAGTTCGTTTTACAGAGCTTAGACTTATTTATTGATCTTTTCGTAAGTGATTGATTAATACTTAATTGGAAAATAACAAAAGGTTCTGAGGATCAGAAGTTTTAGGTTTGGCCTTTCAGATTAATGATCGGAAGCTAGTTTTAAATAATACAATACAATAGTATTTTGTATGCATGATGAAATCACTTAAGATCTCTTCCACAGTGTATAATTTTAAGAGCCTGTCTACTTGTTCAGACCTTGAAGAATATATTGCCCAATGCTTTGTAGATGGCTTTACGTCTAAATAAGATCTTCCTCAGCTTCACTGATTTCAATCTTCGAAGTCAGATGATCATTAGCATCTTCTACTTCTTTATTGACGTTACTTTTTATTTATTGGCTTACGCATTTATAGCCGAATTCCTCTCTTCTTTTCACTGTTTGGCGCCAGTTGGAAATACCAAGTGAAGCCAGGTCACTCTCCACCTGATTCCTCTAACGGAGTGGAGGTCTTCCCCCTTCTTCTGCTTCCAGAAGCGCATACTGAATCAAATATTTTCAAAGCTGGAATACTTTCATCCATTCGGACGACATGACCAAGCCATCGTCTGCGGCATTCGCCGTTGCCAATGCGCAAAGGACCATAAATCGTTCGCAAAACTTGACACCCAGTGCCGACTTAGGAGATGCTGAAATCGTCAACTTGAAGAGTTTGGTTTTTGCTCCTCGTTATCTACGACCTCGAAGTTTTGACCGCCATCAGTGACGTGAGAGCCGAGTCGCGAATGCGATGACTGTTTGTTTGATGACAGAATATATTTTTTTCTTGTCCTCGTTCACTACCAGACCTATTCGCTTCGCTTCTTTATCGAGTGTGGAGAAAGCAGAAATATCGTCGCGGTTGTTGAGGCCGATAATGTCAATATCATCGGCGTACGCCAGCAGCTGTACATTCTTATAAAAGATTGTACCTTCTCTTTTCAGCTATGCAGCTCTTATTATTTTCTCCAGCAATAAGTTAAAGAAGTCACACGATAAGGAGTTGCCTTGTTTGAAACCTCGTTTGGTATCGACGGGCTAGGAGAGGTTCTTCCCGATCCTGACGGAGCTTTTGGTATTGCTCAAGGACAGTTTACACAGCCGTATAAGTTTTGCGTGGATACCAAATTCAGACATAACGGAGTAAAGGCAGCTCCTATTCGTCCAGTCGAAGGCGGCTTTAAAATCGACGAATAGAAGGCCGATCTTCCTAGATTTGGCGCATGGTGAATATCTGGCCAATGGTTGACTTACCAGGTCTAAAGCCACACTGATAAGGTCCAATCAGTTTGTTGACGGTTGACTTTAATCTCTCACAAAAGTTGCTTATGTATGCAACAGATCGGTTCTTCGCAGCCGTATTTGAATAGCCCGGTCGCCGGGTGTTTGCAACAGCCTCTCATTTAATATGCTTCTGGAGTTTGCTTGGGTAAAACCATAATTTATCTCCCCGCTACGCTGTATGATTTTCAAATACCTTGGCGAACTTCCAATCTTCCGTAGGCAATTTTGAATTTTTGTTGCCGATAGTCAGACTTTTACCTTTGTTCGAGATGGAATATCTTTCCAATCGACTGTTACCAGCTAGGCTCCGGCATAAACGCCAATTTTGACAATAGCTGCCTTGCTGAACCGATCTCTTGTCCTCGCAAGCTTTTTTCTTTGATTCAGCCATCTGGTACACCAGCCTTAGACTGTAACGGTTTAGTATCAGATAGCTCTCAGATGGCCATTAAATTTTTGACTAGTAGCATAAGGTTTAAGTTGGGTAATACCGCCATCGCGCAATAAATTGATTCTTGTAGCTGTTTTGGCAGCTTGGTTGACGGCATCAATTGCTCCCTTCTTGGCAGTTATGTAGTACGAAGCTTCTCGCCCTAAAAGTTGGTCACTCTTTTGCAGAAGTATCATCAGCTACTTCACCTTTGCCATTTGCTTTTCTTTTTTCTTTTGTAGCCGAAATTTTCTCACTTGGCTTCGTTCCGGCAGCTGTGGATATTAATCCCAGCTTAGCTTATTCAAGGAACGGTTTTTTTGTTTATTTTTCTTTATTTGTGTCCATTTTTGTATATGTGACAAGAGATCGGCCCGCCTATTCACAAGTACGGCTATTTATTATAAAGAACTCCGTTCGAGACTTGGATGACCTTTGACCTGACTCACATGACTGCTTTATCCAGCTCTTTAGTACCATCAACTAAGGCAAGACCTCCTTTAGATACTGTTCTATTGAGTAGCAACAAATACATACCTCTGAGATCTTATTATAGCCAGCCTGTGACACGGTCATCCCGTAGAATTTATGCATGCTCAGTTCGAAGATAACTGCTTTCCTTTTTGTGTACAGAGCTCGTTATAAAAGCTGATTTCGTAACTTTAGGTAACTGATCCATTGCGATAGTATTCTTTGCAATGACAAAGACAGTAAGCAGTCAGCCGGAGAGCTCTTAGCTCTTAAATCAGAGCACTTTAGCAAATAGATAATTTGACCTGCGCATTATCTTCATCAGAGAAATAATCTTATTTGAATTTTATCCTCATTTGGCTGAGGCGCTTACGAGTTAGAGAAGACAGGCCTTTCTACACTTCACCTTTTCAACGAAGTGCAAGTCTTCCCACTCATCTGCTGAGTTGTTTCATCAAACAGAACGGCGTGACCTAGCAGTTCAACGTTGGAACGGAGTCGGTGGAAAAAGCCGAACTCTAACGGTGCGATTGTAGACTACTTCCTGATAGTTTTCTTTCATTTTAAATCAATGGCAACTTAAAGATACGTTTAGAGGCGGTCGAGCTTATGTCATTTCGACTACTTCCTTCTCAAGGAAGAGGCGTAGTTCCTTGAGAAGGAAGTAGTCGAAATGACATAAGCTCGACCGCCTCTAAACGTATCTTTAAGTTGCACCTCATGTGCTTCGTACGAGTTTGCTTCTCCTTATGCAAATGCCAGGAGAATATTTTTGTTAACGATGCGAACTTTCATCGATGCCCCTCTTCATTCAACATATAAACAGACGGTCAGTCTACAGTTATTTGCATGTATTTTTTAAATTTATTTATTATTCGCTGTTTTCCCCCTGACTTTGTGTGCCTCAAAACTTTGCCTTTCTTTTATGTTGAGTATTTTCGCTTTTGTTTTTGTCATGCTTCGTCGATTACCACTTTAAATAACAACACAAACAATTTCAACAAAGCAGCAAAAGTAATGTGTGTAGATATGTAGCTGTAAAATAAAAACGAACGTGACGAACACCATCACCAACCAAAGACAAAAACAACAATAAGAACAGCAATCACCTCCACCACTTTTTTCGCCATTTCTTCAACAGACATTTTAACAACATTCATTATAAATACATATGTATATTAAAAAAATTATAAAACTAAAATAAAATAAAACAAATAAAAACTAAACAAAGACCAAGCAACAATAAAAAAGTATCTTTTTCCACCAACACCACCGCCTCCTCCCGCCACTTGGCAGTTATTATTATATTTGTGTTGTTTTGTTTTACTTTATTTTGCAAACTTTCTCACACTTAAACGCCAAAGTAACTCATTCACTCACTAAAATTTCTTGCTTTTATTTTTTTGTTCTCTTTCTTGCTCCACACAAATCGCAACACCAACCAACCGTACGTCGCCGTTGCACCGCCGCTGTTGCCGATTTTCACAACGACTCCAATTGCCACACTCTCGCCGCTCGTTTTTTTTTTTTTGGCGTTGTTGGTGTTGACTTTGATTGCCGGTGCTCGTACGTTGTTTTGCGGGCTCTGTGCTGACTTGGCTTGGTTTGGCTGACTCGCTGGCTGGCTCGCTTGTTGGCGTGTTGGCTTGTTGGTTTGCTGACTAACTAATCGACGACGACGACGACGACGACGACGCCGACTGTTGGCTTTTTTGGCGTGTGTAGGAAGCATCAGATCCGTACCACCACCAAGTGAAAGCGATGGAAACCATTTTCATAAAAGAAGTTCAAACGAACGGACCTGCTCACTACGCCAACCTGCAGACGGGCGATCGCGTTCTAATGGTAAACAACTCACCCATTGCCGGACTTGCGTACAGTACAATCGTGTCAATGATCAAGCAAACGCCTTCAGTGCTGACGTTGCATGTGGTGCCCAAGGAGTGCGATGTACTGCAGATGGTAAGTAAAGTGTAAATTATGAAAGCGTATTTGTTGCCTGCCTGCGCCATTCATAAATGACAAATTACTAATAACCCCTTCATTTTCCAATTGCAGCATTATACCAGCATAGCGCATACACCAGAAACCAATCGTCTTGCCACAGCGCCACGACCCATACCATCGCCAGTGACTGTGGGCAATGGTAATGCAGCTGGCGCATTAATACCAATCACACCAGCTGCCGCATCGGCATCGGTATCGGCAGCAACAACAAAAACATTTTCACATCAACAACAACAGCAACAACAACAGCAACAGCAATTGATCTCATATCCGCAGCTGAGTTCTGTCGGTGTTGGCGCCGGCGGAAAAGCTAGTCGTTCGGGCAGTATTACGAGCTCTGTTGGCAGTAGCAGTTTCCGCCCCACAGTGGTGGCGGGGAGTGGTGAATTCATCGATATGTCATCATCGCAGGGTCTGCACCAGCACAGCGGTCGTTTGTTGATACGAGACGATGCTGGTGGTGGAGGCGGAGGAGGATTTGTGTCGCGGTAAGTGTACAAATATTTGCATAATTTATTGTTTTATGGGAATGTACATATGTACATATCTATATATGTATGTGTGCATTTATACGGTGTTCGATTGCAAATGATAATTATGCAACTCAACAACAATTACGCGTTTGTTTATATGAACATACGAATATATTTTTAATTTTTATTTGAGTGTGTGTGTGTAATTCTATAAGAGGCGTGTAGTTGCAAGCTTTCTACGCGGGAAAAAATTTAAAATATTTTGTAATTGTTGTGATTTGATTATCAACGGCTGAGTGTTACAAATTCTTGTCAGTGAAATGTGACAAATATTTAATGGTGTCTGAAAGATTGTTTAACAAATGGACCTCTGCATTTAAGCCACGGTTAATGTAATACCTTCCATAAACGCGAAAAATGTCCATATACTACAATTTTTACAATTTAGCAGCTAAGAATATACAATTTTGTATTCTCTTCACACAAGTGATTGATATAGAAAATCATCCAAATCGGGCAAATATAACATATAGCTCCCATGCAACTGATTGTATGTACATATGCATTAGGTCTCGTAAGCTTAAATAATAATTAAGTTAATATTTGGTATGTTGCCAATCCGAAGGTTCACGTACAATAGGCCGTGCGGAGGCGGCTTAGGACAAAATGTAGGTGCTCTCATTTGTTGTGTAAACATTCAAGAAACTCACTGTAAATTGGTGAAAAAGCGCAAAAGAAACTCGCTTCAGCGTCTGCTAGTTTTCGGGAAGCTTCATAATTCTGTCGGTGTAGAGCTCCTGTGCCATATCGGCGAGGAACTTCTTGGTCAAAAGATTTTCAGCGACTCTTCGGTCCGCTACTATTTTTTTTTACCACCACGAATAAATTGCAAAAATGGAAAGAAACGGCGTAAGGCGCAGTCTATATGGTGGTTCCATCGAAATTTTCCAACCAAGCTCCGTCAAGTTCTTCCCGGTCATCAAAGATTTATATAATGTGGCAATGTCCTGATGACATTATGTTTTACCAGCTTGTTATTAGATAGTTGATTGTCGACAATAGTGCTCAGAGTTGACAGGACCTTTTCGCCATCCTTTTTTTAATGTTTTCAAACTATCACCTGAAATATGCTTAATGAATTCGCTATCTCCACACATGAATGCCGGTTATGCTGTACCAGTTATAGAATAGGCTTTTTACTAACTGCCCGACCAGAAGGTGCACTTTTTAATACAAAACACCTAGGGGTAGCCTTCACCAAGAGGGCCAGTAACAGATTTGGCCATTGTTAGATGAGAAAATAATAGAGCATAATAACCAACCGCTATTTGATGAGTAGAAGGATCGGCTACTTCTATAATGAACTTTGTGGCAGCTACGACAGCATGAACCATGAGCAGTCGGCGGAGCATTCCGACATTCTTTCCTCGGTAATCTTGACTTCTACTGCCTTGCAGAACGCACTACAAGATTGAAAAATCTGAAAATGTATAGCAGGGCAGAGTGCGCACAGGGTTCCGTCATGAAGCAACCTCAAGAACCAACTAACTACCCAAATATTTGTATGAGTTAAGCATCTGAGTTGTTTAAATATCTCTACTTACTCAACTGTAATTTTGCCCCATTCTGCTCTGATAATGATGCTGAGAGGATTGACTCGTGTATTTTATTACGCTTCGTCCCATAACGATGACTCCACCATCATGTTTTATAGTAGATAACGCCCAGATTAGAATTATCTGATGACCTAAACGAGGTTAGATCGCCGAAAGGGTGACAACGTTTGGCCGGTGCTACGGTGCTACTGTCGAGAACATCCCAACGTTTACTTGCAGCTGAACCTCCATTCAGTCACATAAGAAGTACTGACTATATCGATATTTGCGTGGGTTCAAAACCAATCAACTAACTTTTCCTCTGGTCCGGAACCGCCGAAACAGCCCGCTTCCTGGACCTCCGTTTAGATAACCTCGTTGACATAGCTTAACGAAGACATTAACAAAAATAATAACAACAACAACAGCAGCAGCAAATAGCATTAGTACTGGTAGTATTTTTGTCATTTTTCATGTCAAAAATAACCTGTTTTTTTCAAATTCTTCTGCGTTCGTATCATTTAAGGTCTTTTGAAACTGTGCTTAACATCAAAAATCATTAGGAAGCAGTTATTTATACCTTGATTGCGAGATACGTTCTTAAGCGACAACGGATTTACTAACTGATTAATATTAGGTCAAGTAAAAAGTTCGTTCGGTTCTTATCTAAGAGATGGCGTTATTATCCATAGTATTAGTGTTACGTGTCGCATCATGTCATACTATACGGCGCTGAAGACGTGTTTCTTCGCACTCATAGTTTGTCTTTGACAGTTTTTCGATTCAGTGACTCAGAACGTTGTGAGCGCTCGTCAAAGATGGACACCAGCAAAGAGAAAATTCGCTATATTTTACAATTTTTCTGAAGCGGATTGTGACTGGCGATGAAAAATGGGTCACTTACGACAATATCGAGCGCACACGGTCGTGGTCAAAGCTCGCTGTAGCGGCCAAGACTGTGGCCAAGATCCTATTGGCGGCAAGGCAGGTTTTGCTGTGTGTTTGGCGGGATTGGCAAGGAATCATCTACGCTCAATTTGGCCCTCTACTGCTACATTGATCAACAGAGGCCGAATTGTCTTCCATCAGGACAACGCCAGGCCACACACGACGCGCCAGAACTTCCAGTAGCTCGGATGGGAGGTCCTAATGCACCCACCTTATAGTCCGGACCTGGCACCAAGTGATTACCATCTTTTCCTGTCCATGGCGAACGCGCTTAATGATGAGAAGTTGGCCTCAAGAGAGGCCTTTGAAAATTGGGCTTCCGAGTTTTTGTCAATAGCGAGGCAACCTTCTACGAGAGAGGTATAATGAAGTTGGCACATATTTGACTTAAATCGGATAAATGTACACAAAGTTACCAGGTTTTGAAAAATCAATCAAAAAAACCAAATGAACTTGTTACTTGACCAATATAATATTGACATTTCTAACAGCAATGAAACGAAGTATTACTCATCTCTTTAATCTGAGATTACTCATAAAAATTGCCAAAATTTAGCTTTAAATAACAACTTTTATTATTTTTTTGAATTCTGTTTTTTAATTGAACACTTAATGGTGCCGGGTAATAAATAAATTATCTCTAGTTTTGCCTCTATTTGGCATAACACAGGCATTTCAGTTACTTAGTTAAGCAGTCATTTATCACCTAACACACGCAGCACGACCTTAATGTACGAATGTGCATATGCATGTGCATATACATATGTTCAATAGTATATATATAGATAAATTCGCAATATATTTAATAATAATATCACAATCATTATAATCTCATAAACAAGTAAGCTAAGCGCACGAGTAAGTCAAGGCACTTTATATCTGCTGACGTCAGCAAGCTTTGCGCAGGTGACTAATTGACTGCAGCAGTGACTGACTGACTGACTGAGCACAACAACTATGTTGTTTTGCATTGACTTTCATAAAAAAAAGCGTTATCTAAATAGACAGTAGCGCTTTTGCTGAAACAGCTTCTCTGCTTTAGCTTATCAGAAGGTTTATTTTCTAGTATTTAATGTTTCTTGCTGATTTTGCTTATGTGTATGTTTCGCTTTCTACTGCAATTTCGTACACATTTTTTCGAGAATGCATATAATTTTAAATATTTTTAAATTTATAAATTTCACTTGAAGCCTAGAAATGTATTATTTACATATATACATCAATGTAATTATTATGATTTTATCTTGTCTACATTCTTCTTCAAATTTAATTCAATTATCTCTGTAACTATTTTATATGTACATATGCATGAAAATATATATTTACTGATGGCAATCATACCGGCTAGTTATTATGACGTTCATTGCGCATTTATTGTGGAAATAAAGGGGATAAAGAAGCCTTGAAGCCCTGTCGGACATTTCTAAGAGGCGTGTTGCGTGTAGAGTAGCGAATTTTGACCATTTTAAGATTCTCCTAAATGATCTCGGCCAAACTACCCATTAGATGAAGGATTTTGGAAGTCTTACATGAAGCAAATTAATTTTTTTTTCAATTTCAAAAAATTGTATGTATTTTTTATTTTGCGAATGTACATTTTTTCTAATTTTTTTTCAAATGTTAGATCTAGTAAAAAGTGATACATTATTTTTGCATTAAATTAAGGGCTTTATTTACCATAGTAATTAATTGATTAATTGTTTTCTTTTTCCACATTTCAATTTTTTTTCTTTTTTATTTATCGAACAATTTTAATTTTTTCTTTTAAATACTTTTTCGTAAAAGCATTATATATAATAATTATTTCGAATTTTCACAGAAGAAAATGTTTTCAACTTATTTCCAATTTTTGCCAATTTTTCGATGCAACTTTTTTAATTATTTCCGATTTGTTTTTTCTTAGCAATATTTTATTTTTATTATAATTTAATTTTATTTTTTTCGTGTTTTTTCTCTTTCTATATTTTGGTTTTTCTAAATTTATTTTATATTATATTTTTTAATATATTTTTTTTAATATTTTTATTTTATTTTATTAAAGTCTATTATATCTGGCCGAAAATTGGGTCAGCATATACATATATACATTATTTTTATTTTTCATTTGATACATTTTTATATATTATTATTTAATTTTTTCCAAATTTTTTTATGAAAGAACTTTTTTACTAATTTCTTAATTATTTTATTTTCAAAGAACTTTATTTTAAATGACTTTCGTTTTTTCAACAAACAATTTCTAGCAATATTTTTTTTATAATTATTACTTTTTATATAAGTCCATTTTTTTGTAAATAATTTTTATCTTTTTAAATTTAGTTTTACTTTTTTGAATTTGTTTTATTTTTTTTTACCTTTTAATGTTTCATTATTATTTTAGTTAATTATATATCTTTAATTATATTTAATTCTTTCAATTACTTTTTCGAATTAACAATTTTTAATAATTTAGTTATAATTTTTTATTGATTC